CCTATATATATATATAAAGTGAGAGAGGAAACACGATAAAAAATGACGCATCCCAGGGTACTCCAAATCATGTATAGGCTTCCTGCGAAAATAAAAAGGACGTACATGAAAAAAAAGGACACAAGGGCCCAAAAAAAGATGGAAAAAGGATCTTCATGCTATAGACACCGAGTTTCATATGGTTATTATTAGTGCCATCAATCCCTTTATTTATGTGAGAACCGTGGAATACCACTTGGACTGGGTACGATAAAAGAAAAGTTAAATTTAGATTCCATCAGAAAAGAACAATGTTAAGAGCGAGCTGAATGAAGAATTCTACAGCCGTTAATTCATTAAATTCACAGAAATGAATTCCGTGCAGACAACAAACATAAACTTGTTCCAAAAATGGCAATACTTACACAAACTCTCTTTCCCCTTTTTTTTATAACGTCTTTAAGGATAGTAATATTTTTCATTATTTTATTAATGACAAAATAAACACAAGTCCAACTAAAACTTGTTTTAGCACAAAAACCACACATATTTAAACCTATGCCTTGAAAACTAAGTAGTAAACAACCAATGGTAAGGCTCTTATTATTCATTTAAATAACAATAAAGGTACTAATATTCATTTGCATATTCAGAAACAAATAAATTAAAAGAAATAGTCATTCGCATAGAAAAGGCTACAAGTATAAAACAATCTACCTATGTAAGTTGTTGGCATCGATTTTAGCCCATTATGAAGTCTTCAGGTCTTTCTGAAGTATTCCTGGGATTATGCACGCACGATCAACCTAGCCGGAAGAAAAGGTTCATTTTGGGCACACACTGCAGCGACGTCGATGCTAGGCGCCATGACCTAGCAATCGATTGGACACACATCTACCGTCAACAACCATTGTTAAAGACGCTGCCTCGCTAGGACTAGGCGCAATCATGCACATTCAACGATATTCAATAAGGGTTTAATGCCCTGAAGCCACGAGTGGGGGAGTGTTGGGCACTGATACTGGGCTCCCCACCTAAAATGATATTTATGGTCACCGGAAAGAGTTGTTATTCGGGTATGGCGCCGCAGAGTCCAAGAGTCAATAAATAAGAGACAAACCTTAACTGTTCCGTAAAGTTGACTTTCGACAACGATGCCCTGTCGTCTCAATTTGCTCCTCTCCTTTCTATAAATCCTTCCCTGAGATGCCATGTCAACATGCTCGTGTGGCGAGACAAGTGCCCTGTTGTACCCATTGCCCCTTCCCCGAATAGCTATTTTAGTGATGAGACATTTGAGGCTAGCTCCACATCAAAGGCCTCCAGAGTTTGGAGGTCCTTGGGTATGCATGCTTGACTCGCCCATCAGAAGGAATTTCGCCGCGCCCCTGAGTTCCACCACTTTTGCAAGCTGAGGGATGAAATCGCCAACCTCAACATGTTGGACTACCTCACGAGGCGATTAAACCTCATTCTTAGGCTGCAGAATATCGAGAGGAAACAAGATATGTTGGCCGACTGGCACGCGAACGCTTATGAGAGATGGGAAAGAGCCCTCCAGCATCCCCCTTGGGACTACAACCCAAAGGGAGGAGCAGGCAGAGAGGAGAACGATGACCTAGTCGGAGGCGAATGGCTGCCTAATCCTTAGGATCGTGTGATCACTCTTCCCATTTTCTACTCATAAATGTATTTTCCTTTTAACAATATGGGACGTGTCAGGTGTCTCCTTCGCTTATGGGTTTTTGTAACCCCTACTTTTGAATTTAATGAAATTGATGCATATTTTCTGTCAAATATTTATTTGATACACTCAATAGGACACAATGGAGGAAAAATGATTCATGTAGCCGACCCGATTTATTGGGATAAAGACTTGTTCTTGTTGTTGTTGTTGTTGTTATATTTATTTGATATGCTACATGTTATTTATGGTCTACATCATATTCCTCACTTTGGGAGCTTCGACCACTTTTATGTGACTCGCACAAGCCCCAAATCGCGACAGGTGACAAATACATGGACGACGCCGCAACGTTAGGCGCAGCATCGCGGCTCCTCGTGCCACTGCCAGGAGTTGACAAGGGATCGAATATTTGACATTCCTTCACCACCGCGGTACCCTGCTATAGCGCCACCGAACACTACAACAGCGTTGCGTCGCCCTGACCACAACACTGAGGCGCTTAATGACATAAGTTTCGAAGGAGGCACCTGACAGGACGACCGTCGTGATGGCTGGCCGACATGGCAAGCGTCGTGGTGCCTCCATAGAGCACCACAGCGCCCGACCGAAATCATCAAGCCTTGAGCCACGTCGCACCATTTTGTCGGTTGGATGAAGGTAGCCCAGGGTTTAACTTTTGGAAGTTAAAAAGTTGGCATTTTGTTCCCGAGTAGATTTCTGAGATCAGTAAGCTAATGCCCCTCTTTTCCTTAGGTTTTGACGTATGAACTTCCCTCCACGCCTTATTCTCAATCTTTTCCAATTTCAGCCGAGCTTGCTTAGCCGACGGTGGTTTTTCCCACATCCAGAGGTGTTTAAGGAGTTCTTCTGAAAGCCTTTGAGCCAAGGGACTTCATCAGACTTCGCGTAAGTGAAATTTATTTCTTTGTATATCTTTCTTTTTTAGGAAATAACCTTAGCTTCTATTTTAAACGAACTAGGCTAGATTGCTTTTAGAGAATACCAAGGTTAGATTCCTTGTATTTCCTTTAGCCATTGCTTCTTTGAGCGCCTGTGTGTACATAAAGCCTTAGCTTGCCCCGGTGCTATAGTGTCGTCTTTTGGGCATTTCGACACTACTTTCCCCTTTCTCTAGTATGAAATAGGCTCGTCATTTCCTCGCCCAGAGAGTAGCCATACGTCTCGCCTCCGCGATGGCACAGAGCCACTTGATTCAATTTCAATTGGCAATAGATGCTGCTTTTTCGTTGGCATAGTATCAGTTCGTGGAATTGGGCCGCGGTTTTGTTTCAACTACGCAGCCTCGAGTGGCCTTTGCTTTTACTTGGGCCAATGTCGTGATGCCAATCCTGACATCACAGCGTTTGCCTCTACTTTTGGTATTGTGTTGTATTTCCGTTGACGGGACCACAATAGTGTGGTCTCCTCTCATGAATTGAAATGCCAACCTTAGGTAGCTGATATTGGGACTTATAGGGACGCCTGCCCTTGTTTTGTAGCATCGGGTGGTTGATTTTCCATTTTATGCTTTGTGCGGTGAATATAGGACACCTGTCGATTAGTCGGCACCAAATTTGACTGAACTAGAGTTATCATCTGATGTCAGGAAACATAATAAGCTCCCTTTACGTCATTAATACACCCTTCCATAAGGATGGTCGCCTACTTTGGCTCATCTGGTCAAAGTCTTTCGACCGAGTATGGTTATCCCGAATAGGTGGGTTTTCCATCTCTATAGATGGCCGACCTAGGAACTTACTTCTCCTGAAATATTGGTACATCCTTCCACATGGGTGGCGATTCCGCCTAGCCCGACTAAATGGTTGGGCTTACGTCAGTTCCGTCACTCGTTGATGTGACTTTGAGTAAGCTGGTTCTCTTCATTTTTCGCCTTTTGTAGACTTCCTGGTGAGGCATGAAGAAAAGTGCTGACGCCCTGCCAATACTCAAGACTGTGTCTGCATTTCGTCTTTTAACTTGTCTCTTGCATGTCATTGAACCTATGTTGTGTCACATATTTATTGTGTCTTTGTTGCATGTTTGGTATTTAACAATGTCGTACCTGCCGTCCTTTATAACATGGAAGGTGGGGTACAATTTGAACATTTACATAGTCCCGCAGTGCCACCCTTCCGGTCTAGGATCACATTTGCGTGTGTTGTATGACTCATTGTATGATTGGATTGAGAGTTCGCACTTGTTGCACTCACTTATGTGATGTCTTTATTGCTTTAAATTGTCTTTGTTGCATTTATCAAGCTTCACACACACTTCATTTGCATAGTGTTTTTTCATGCACCAAGTGTTTTATTCTGTACCAGTGAAACATTTGTTTTCCTTCTATAAGCCTGGGTTGCATGAGTCCGAACGTTTGTGGCGAGGCTTCAACTACCCTTAATTTGATATGTAGTTATAATAGGAAAATGAGCATTGCCTATTAGTTTATTCGGTCGAGCAATATGAATTATCTATCACAACCAAATCTTGTAGGATAGTTCAAGCATAGACTTGGGCTAACCTCCGCCACTTGTCGTGGCTATGGATATCAAAAAAGCTCATTGTTTGTGAATAGTTCATGTTCAGTTTGTTAAATAGCTCGTGTTCGATTTGTTCATTAAACAAGCAAGCTAAACACGAAAAATTTTTTGAGCTCGATTTATAAACTAGACGAACACGAACAAAGGTTTGTTCGTTTGTGTTTGATCTGTTTTGGCTCGAAATAATTAAATAATGATATATATATATATATATATATTATTTTTTATATGTCTTAATAATGTTAAATTTTATTATTTTTAAAACTTGTTTGGGTGGTATAGTTATAGAAATATAAATTTAGGTGTTAGATATCAAAATAAATAATATTTGGGTGGTATGTGTGTAAATGTCTCTAATCAGAATCATTTTTTGATTTATGAATTTTATATGAAATAAATAGATTAGGGTTGGGACTTAGGTTGGCGATAAATGTTGTGAGTTTTTTCCCAAAAAATTGCAAGTACTGCCGCCCCTTCTTTTTTTTTTTGCTATGATATTATA